TTGAGGAGCTGCCACAAAGAAGAGGGGGTCAACTTATTTTTCAAAGCACCAGAAGGCAGGATAAGAAACGACGGATGGAAACCAATCAAGGAGAGAAGCAACCTGGAATTAAGGAAAAACTTCCTAACAGTGAGGAGCGTTAACCAGTGGAACGGTTTGCCTTCAGAGGTTGTGGGTGCTCCAACACTGGAGGTTTTTAAGAAGAGACTGGACAGTCATTTGTCTGAAATGGTAGAGGATCTCCTGCTTGAGTGGGGGGGGGGGGACTGGACTAGAAGACCTCCAAGCTCCCTTCCAGCTCTATTCTGATTATGTTGCTCTTGTGGTGGGTGCTTGGTTAATTCATATTATTCTAGAGATGAAGCTAGGAGATTGACTGAATATTAGCTACGAAGCCAAGTTTATAAAGCTTGAAAGAACGTGAGGCTGAAAGTTTAGAATATTTATGCTTTGTGTTTTAATGTTCTCTCTCTCTCTCTCTCTCTCTCTCTCTCTCTCTCTCTCTCTCTTTCTTTTTTTAAAAAAAGAACACTATGGAGATATCCTGGGCACCGAATAACCAAGGACTTACTAAAAACAAAATTGATTGACCAAGCTTTATGGCCATTAATTTGTTCTTCAAAAAAGAACACCCTGTTCCTTCCCCTTCAATTACATTTCTGAGAGATAGAATAAAAATGCTTAGTTTTCTTCCTACTGATACACAAAACACGTATTTTCTGGGCTGAGGATCTAACTTGGGCACCAAACTCCAGAGGGAATCTCAAAAGTCTAAATCAAAAACAGAGCAGATTCCAAATAAGGATTTTAGCGGTTAAAAAAAAAAGAAACACATTTTCTAAGCCGCTCTGACTTCTGGCAAGCATCTCAACAGTATAAAATTGCTTTGGTGGCAGATGGCTTTGAACTGGGCTTTGAACTGACAAACACATCTTGGAGGTCCCAGAAAAAAAAGACTTGAGCGTAGGCAAGTAAGCAGATGCAGACACCACCACTAACGATGGGGAGAAACCTAGTAAGGTAGTCCTGGACTTACGACCACAAGTGAGCCCAAATTTTCTGTTGCTACGTGAGACATTTGTTAAGTGAGCTTTGCCCCGTTTTACAAACTTTCTTGCCACGCTTGTTAAACCAGTGGTTCTCAACCTTTTTAATGCCGTGACCCCCAACCGGTCGTAAGTCGAGGACTACTCAACCAGTCGTAAGTCGAGGACTACTCAACTGGTGCAGCACCGTTTGCAGACTGGGGCTTTTGGCGGCTCAGCAGGGCAGAGACAGCCTGGACAATTCCTATTGGCTTTTGAAAGCCAATAGAATTAGACTCTATTCAAGAGAGTCTATTCTATTGGCTTTCAAAAGCCAATAGAATAAAAGGGAGGAGCACAGCTAAGGAAAAAGGGAAAAAAAATGGCAGACTGCGTTGTTTGGCGACCCCCATGAAGTGGTCGTTCGACCCCAAATGGGGTCCCGACCCACAGGTTGAGAACCATTGTGTTAAACAAACCGCTACAGTTGTCAACTCGGTTAACATGGTGGTTTACTGAAGTTGGCTTCCCCCATTGACTCTGCTTGTCAGAAGGTCGTAAAAGGGGATCACGTGAGCTTGGGACACTGCGACCGTCATAAATAGGAACCAGTTTGCCAAGCGTCTGAATGTTGATCACGTAACCCTGGGGAATGGTGGCAACGGTCGTAAGTGTGGAGAACGGCTGCAAGTCACTTTTTTCAGTGCCGTCGTAACTTTGAACGGCCGCTAAACAAACTGTTGTAAGTGGAGGACGACCTGAAGTGAAGACGGGCAGATGGCTGCTGTCCTCGATTCTTTTCCAAGGATTTTAGTGAACAGAATTGGATTAGGATACGGCTAAATCTTCCGTTGAGAAATAAGAAGGAAAAGGTTTCCACCAGTGGCAGAGGGGATGGGATAGAACAGTGGTTCTCAACCTGTGGGTCAAACATTTCAACTACCTACTGCAAAGCGGGTTGGGGAGCGGGGGAAAATGTTTGAAAGATTTAGCCAAACTATCAATATGAAAAGCGGATTAAAATTAAGAGATGGCTCCATCCTGTACTATATACGTGCTCACGGAATCCAACGGCAACTGAATTCAAAAACTATTTCTATTAACAGTTGATCTGTGAACAGTAGCTTTTGATATTTAAATCAGGGATAAATATGTGTACAATAATAATATGAATTATTCTTAGTAAGAAGTAGAAGATGAAGGAAGAAAAATGTAAATAAGAAATAACAGGGCTATAAGGACAAATATTTTAAAGAAGAATAAGGGGAAAATGTAAATAATAGATTACCGTTACGCAATTGCTGTAAAAAAAAGGAGGAGTATATATTGTGTGTATATGTGTGTTTTGTTTTGTTTTGTTTTGTCTTGTTGGTTAAAAATAAAAATTTATATATATATATATAAAAAAGAGCCAAGGTTGCCTATCCCTGGACTAGAAGACCTCCAGGATTCCTTCCAACTGTTATTCTGATATTCTGTCAAGTCAAGGACTACTTGTATTGTACAAATATGCTAAATGCATTTCCTTTAATTGTATCAGACACCAAGAGACTCTCAACTTACTTTGGATTCCAACTTAACCCAAGGGCTGGGTGCAATTTAGACAAAAAAATCAAACCCATCGTTCTTACGTTGCCTGTTCCAATAAATTTCTTAGCTCTTAAGTTGATCAGTAGCTGAGAACCTCTTAGCCAGTGTGAAGATAAATAGATTTGTAGCTGTTGGTCTCGTCTATCTTTCCTTCTTCTGCTTTTGTGATGTAAGAGATGCACAAATAAGGAGATCACAACACTGCAGAACTTGAGCAAGGCTGCCATAAACACTGAAAAGGCGTTATAGTTTATCACCACCACTATGTAAATATTAACAGCCACTAGTGTTCTCTTTCCTGCGTACAAAGCGCCATTTGGACCACACGTTCTGTCACAACACTTTACCATATAGGGCAACCTGTACATGGTAAATCCTTTTTTCCATGCTTGGAAGGCTAAATAACAAGCTCTAAGCTTAATTCAAAGGCGAATGGTTTTGATCACTGTTTGGAACCCCTGCCAAAAAAGGAATTCTTAACCGATTTCCTCATCTGACTTCCCCTTAATCTGAACATTTACTTGGACTACCCCAAAGCATCTTGCTTTCAGCTCAGAAATGAAGTCCATTACTGGTGCAGAATTCCAGTCAATTGCTTTTTCACTCTCCATGTTCGGATTGCAGCCATCTAGGATGACCCATGGTTTAATTCAAGAAACCAGTTGACTGTTGTTCTTCAAGGACCGGCTGTCGTTCACAACTTCAACACAACAAAGCTCTTATGCCACTCTCCCTAGACCAGCGGTTCTTAACCTGTGGGTCGGGACCCCATTTGGGGTCGAACGACCATTTCACAGGGGTCGCCAAACAACGCAGTCCGCCATTTTCCCCCCCTTTTCCTTAGCTGTGCTACTCCCTTTTATTCTATTGGCTTTTGAAAGCCAATAGAATAGACTCTCTTGAATAGAGTCTAATTCTATTGGCTTTCAAAAGCCAATAGGAATTGTCCAGGCTGTCTCTGCCCTGCTGAGCCCGCCAAAAGTCCCATTCTGCAAACGGTGCTGCACCAGTTGAGTAGTCCTCGACTTACGACCGGTTGAGTAGTCCTCGATTTACGACCGGTTGGGGGTCGCGGCATTAAAAAGGTTGAGAACCACTGCCCTAGACAATTTGTTTCCCCTGCCAAACTGCAGGTTTCATCAGCACCCGTAAACATTTGATGAGCGCTATTATAAACGCAGTTCCTGTATTTCTAACGGCAACTAAACGTAGGACTCTACATAGATGCTCGGTTTGTCGCTCCCAAGTTACAGCCCTTGGGAGGAATGGTAGAGACTGGGAAAAGGTAACAGCCTCTCCAGTTCCTTCTTGTTGGTACAGTTAAAAAAGATTTGGAGTCCAGACAAACAATGCGAAATGCAAACTATGGGGGGTGAAGATGCTGAACGTGGAAGATCAGTAGTTAATATGGGGGGTCAGAAAAATCAGAAAGAATCCGGTAGCAGCTCTTTTGAAGAAGCCATCTTATTAAAAAGGCAGAAGCTTTCATGCGTTACAGCTCACCTCATTAAATACACTGGGTGGCTGGACTTAGGCAAGGTTTAAATTGGAAGGGAGGAAGTGGGGAGGGGAAGGAAGGCCAGTTGCAGAGGTTACCTGATTGACAGACTGCAATTATCAGTCATAGTGAGTTAAAAATCCATTGCGGTTGTCCAGGCTCTTCTGAGATGGCCTGAAACCTTTTGAGATATTGGAGTTGGCAATCTCTTGCTCAAGGCTGTTATTCATGTCTGATTCTCGTTGGGATAAAATTAGAAGAGACCCCCACGTTGGAAACAAAAGATGGGATATAAATCATTAAACCATCAAAAGGAAGCCCTTAAGATGACTTCAAAGCCTTCTTTGTGCTCAACACAGCTATGTTTCCACCGTGGGACAGTAGGGAAAATCCATGATGCCTTAGTCAGAACGGCGACCTGGTGATACCCCAGTAATTCAACCCTGTGGAATCTGTCTGTTCTCGAAGCTCTCAGCTGATCTGAACTTTGCAGCATGAAAAGGGCACCACTAGCCAAAAAGAGTTGGCTGGAATCTGGTCATCATGTAGCACTAGCAAGAGCACCTAGATTTATATACCACTTCATACTGCTTTTACAGCGCTCTCTCTCTCTCTCTCTCTCTCTCTCTCTCTCTCTCTCTCTCTCTCTCTCTCTCTCTCTCTCTCTCTCTCTCTCTCTCTCTCTCTCAGAAAGATGGCTGTTGCCGACCTCGGAAGGATGGAAGGCGGAGTCAACCTTGAGCCGGTCAGAATCGAACTGCTGGCAGTCGGCAGAGTCAGCCTGCAATATTGCCTTCTAACCAACGAGCCACTACGACACTATCTAAGCGTGATTACAGTCAGTTCCTTTTTGTTTAACTTGAACAACCATCTGAAAAGGGACGTACCTGATGACAAAAGGCTCCCACTGCTGCCGCTGATAATCTTCCCTTTGCTGCCCATGTTGGCTAATTTGGAGGTCTTCAGCGTTCCAGTTTCCGTCAAGTCAATGGCAATTTCACTCAGGCTTCTTGTCGCATGGATTTTGGACTGAGGAGAAAGGAAACGAAGAAATCCGTGGACAAGGAAACCGAAACCTTCTCTTAGATATTTCCTTCTGGGTGTCATCAAAAGCTTTCAGCACCAACATCTTATCACCAAGGCAGGACAGTTTGTCCAAAGGAGGAAGTACCTCCTCCTCAAAATAACTAGGGATGGTCTTGCGCATGACCCTGGTGCTAAATATATTAGATGCTGAAAGACCTGAGGTGATTAAAACCATGGCGATGATGATGATGATGATGAGTCCTTAACAAAATCATCAAAGTGGATTTCAAGGACTACATTTCCCAAATCACGTTTAGCAATGAAATAATTGGTCTCCATTCATGCCCAACTCCTCACAAGTTCCATAAAACACATAAAATTAATGAGTCGTAGCCTAAAACAGTGTTTTTCAAACTTGGCAACTTTTAGGATTTATGGATATCAATTCCCAGAAATCAGCCCCTGGCATTCTTCAGCTCTAGGGGCTGAAGTTTCACCTATCTTAAAGGTGTCAAGTGTGAAAAACACCGGACTAAAACAACAAAACATTTCAGAAAAGCTACTGTAGTTTCTTAAGCCATGCTTGCAAATGTTGATGCATCTGAGAGAACCTATCATTGATTATTAATGCTAAAAGCTTCCTGCTAAAGATGGTTTTGTTTAATAAATCTCATCCGTTTGGCCGTAACTCAGATCCTGATACATTTTACATAGGTTACCTTTAGACCTCTAAAATCTATGATAATGGCATCCAAATTCAGTAAAGGATTTTTCTGATTATCAACTCTCTTTCGCAGAGATAATCAGCAAATTAACACTGTTTTTTTTTCACATGGAACATTTATTTTCAAAAATAAGCGCTATCTATAAATACATTTGCTCAACTCCTTCTTATGGAAGTTCATTTATAAGCCATGTCTACAAGACATTTTTGTGGTTCAGGTTACAATCCTTCATCTGGTCATGACACACTAATGTAAATTTTTTGTAATCTAGGAAATCTCAGTTTAATCAATTCAATTATCAATTTTGTCTCAAGAGCCTCGTGGCATTTCCGTACCGGCCTTTGATCTTTTTTTTTCCATGCTAAAGTTATCAATCCATACATTAAACCCAATTATCTTTTTAGTGTCATTTACAAATATAGGTGGTCCTTGACTTAGGACCACAATGGAACCCCAAATTTCTATCGCTCCGTGAAACGTTTGTTAAGTGAATACTGCCCCACTTTATGACTTTTCTTGCCATGGTTCATAAATGAATGCAGTTGTTAAGTTAGTAACATGGTTGTTAAGTGAATCTAGCTTCCTCCATTGACTTTGCTTGTTAGAAAGTCTCAAAAGGGGATCACGTGACCCAGGGATGCAGTGACCGTCATAAATACGAGACAGTTGCCAAGTATCTGAATTGTGATCACGTGACCGTGAGGATGCTGCAACGGTCGTAAGCGTGAAAAATGGTCCTAAAGCAGGGGTAGGCAACCTTGGCTCTTTTATGACTGGTGGACTTCAACTCCCAGAATTCCTGAGCCAACATGGCTCAGCTTGAAAACTCTCCCTTTCCCCTCAGTGTGGCTGGCTCAGGAATTCTGGGAGTTGAAGTCCACGAGTCATAAAAGAGCCAAGGTTGCCTACCCCTGCACTAAAGTCATGTTTTTTCAGTGCTGTTGTAACTCCAAACAGTCACTAAATGAATTGTTGTAAGTCAAGGACTAGCTGTATTAAGCAATTGTCATTTTCAGATCAGCCCTCAGAATTAAATAAAGCGGTAAAGAACAATAACTTTAGCTGAAATGGGTGCAAACGGGCTCCCAGATATTTTGGGTAAATTATAAAATTTCCAGAAGGGAACCCCCCCCTCAAAAAAAATCCTGGAATAAGTATGTTTCTACTTGAAAACCGCTTCTGGACTTTGTGCTTGAGGTGGAAAAAAATGATAATATGATTTGGGGTTTTATTAGACTGATTTCCGATACAGAAATGGCTAGTGCATACTACTATAGAATGTACAAAGTTGAGATTTGATGTTAATGTCTGATTTTACTGCAACAGAGAGAGTCGGAAATCAATGCCTTTTGTTTCTTCCCCTCCCTTTCTTCACACCTTTTTTGTTTTCTCCTTTTTCTACTGTTGTCCCCTCCTATTTGCTTTTGTATTTTCACATTTTATGTTATAAATGAATAAAACTAATAGAAAAATATCCTGGAATAGGCAAAAAGGTTTGGATATACAAAAGGTGAAAGCGCATAATGACCTGAAGGAAGGAATTGGAACATAATGTCACATTGGCTACAAAGATGTTCCTGGGAAAAAAATTAAAAAATTAAAGGTAAAACACTCCCTCCATATTTACTGAGGAGTAAATCCTATAATATTCTGTCTGGCTTCCTTGCAGTCAGCTGAACACTGAATTCTCAAATGTGTAAACAGATGCAAAGTTTTGGGAACGTTTCGTATTCCTTGAAATGTTCGTCTACCTCTCAGAACTTAAATTTTCTGCAGATTAATTGCCAAAGCAGGTTTTTTTTTATGACAGAAGTAAAACAGATGTCTGTCTTATTAATTGTTTCACTCTTCGTTGTGGAAGGAGAAATAGGATACAAGCACAACATCAAAATTAGGTATTCTCCCCAGCTCGGAAAATGGATCTGGAGGCTCACACTTCAGAGAATCAATTCACTCCTGTCATTAAAGAAAAATAAGGGCTACATCCGTTGCCAAAACATAAGTTGCTTCCTGCTTTCCCCATTCATCCTCTCCTGACAAGGCATCCCTTGGGCTAAGAGGAGAGAGATTTCCTGCCACATGTGGACACTATCTCTAGAATAGGGCATTTTACTTGGGTTTAAATGACACCATTATGGAGAAAGAAAGAAAGAAAGAAAGAAAGGAAAGACAGAAAGAAAGAAAAAAAGAAAGAAAGAAAGAAAAAAGAAAAAATAAAGAAAGGAGAAAGAAAAAAGAGAGAAGAAAGAAAAAGAAAAGAGAGAAGAAAAAAGAAAAAAGAAAAGAAAGAAAGAAAAGAGAAGAAAGAAAGAGAAGAGAGAAGAGAAAAAAGAAAGAAAAAGAAGAAAGAAGAGATGAAAAAATGAAAGAAAAAGAAAGAAGAAAAAAGAGAAGAGAGAGAGAGAGAGAGAGAGAGAGAGAGAGAGAAGAAGAAGAAGAAGAAGAAGAAGCTAGGAAGCAGTGGTTCAAAAGCAGGTCAAGAATTTAAACCAACAACTTGCAGAATGACCACTGTATTTTCAAAATAGGCCAAATAACAAATATAGCAAGAAATGTCGTAAAAAAAGGACAAAAGTCACTTAACAGATGTCTTATTTAGCAACAGAAATGGACTCAATTGTGGCCGTTAAGTCGAGGACTTATGCTGTATCTCTCAAAGACGGTCAAACATTTCAACTACCTACTGCAAAGCGAGTTGGGGAGCGGGGGAAAATGTTTGAAAGATTTAGCCAAATTATCAATATGAAAAGCGGATTAAAATTAAGAGATGGCTCCATCCTGTACTATATACGTGCTCATGGAATCCAACGGCAACTGAATTCAAAAACTATTTCTATTAACAGTTGATCTGTGAACAATAGCTTTTGATGTTTAAATCAGCTATAAATAATTATGCCTGTGATAATTACTTAGGTCAGGGGTAGGCGACCTTGGCTCTTTTATGACTCGTGGACTTCAACTCCCAGAATTCCTGAGCCAGCCACTCTGAGGGGAAAGGGAGAGGTTTCCGAGCTGACCCATGCTGGCTCAGGAATTCTGGAAGTTGAAGTCCACGAGTCATAAAAGAGCCAAGGTGGCCTACCCCTGACTTAGGTTCTTTATTATAGCAAAAGTTCTCCCAATTACTACTGAAAAAAACTACTGGCTGTGCTACCTGAGGTTTATTTTTGCTTTAGCTAAACAAATACCGGGATTGGAAACATTCTAGGAACCCCCAACCTGGTCTCAATTATAAACACCACCTTTGATGAAACAGCCACTAAAAAGGAATTTCCTTCCCATATGGATTGATTCATTAGCCGGATGATGGAGTCAACGTGATTAATGGTGGATTAGGAGACTCTTTTGAAACCTTCCAAATAAGCGATTTCAATTATTTTCAGAGCAAATGGTTTCCTTCAATATTGGGGCACCTATAAATCTCATTCTCCATGCCCGTTTCAGACTTCTCTCATTCAAAAAGTATTTAAAATATTTAAAACCAACTCTTTCCCAAGTCTGCCAGGCTCCCTTTCTAAAAGAGTGCATAAAAATGAGCTTCCAGCCAGCTTTATTTTAAAAACTTACAAAGGATTCCCAGTCTTCACTGAGTACGTCATTTCTGATGAACTATTCATAGTTAAAGTTTAGTCTCCCATAAGAAAAAAGCTTATAATAGGCAATTCTTATATAAAACGCATACTGTATTTTTGAGTTAGCTTTAAGAATACCTTTATTTCCTAAAAGTAGGAGTCTGAAAATGTACTTCTGAAAGCCAAAGGAGAAAAAAAATACTACATATACATTTCCTACCAAAAGAACAAACATAAATGATTTTGAATATATAATTGGCAATATTAAAACTGCTTTATTAGATATCAGTGATCTCTTTACTTCATATTCTAAATTAAATTCAACAAGATTAAGGTAGCGAGTAAATTGCAGATATTCATAAACGGCTGTAATAAATCTCTTGAGTCTGAATTCACCAACGTTGCTATTATTAAAAAAAAAAACGGCTAAGCTTCTTAGAAAGGAGAAATTCAAACACTGGAAATTCAGATGTCAGAGGAAGAGGTTTATGAGACTGTAGGTTGATTGATTGAATTGACTGTAAATTTAAAGCACTCGTCAAGCTTCATGTGGAAAAAAAAATGCTTTTGGAGATTCTGTAAATACACTGAACATTTTTCAGCCCACCCCGTGAGCCGAGTTCCTGCGCTTCCTAAGGTCCAAAAGACATTTTATAAATAATTTTGGAGACCCAGACCACCCAGCTGAATTCATTCGGCTGTATTTCTTAAAAAACGCAAGAAGCAACTCCCAGAAGGTGACAAAACGATCCATCAAAACACAAGGACAAAGCCACTTCTGAAGGAAAGAAACGTCACTCAGGGTCACTGTGTTGAGCCAACAATTGCTGATACTCTTTCTAAAACAAGACAGAAGAAACATTTGCAGGATCTCCATGGTAGGGGAGAAGGGGTCTTCACCGAGAGTCCCATGAAATTAAACATGATGTGGAGAAAAGCAGGTTCACCCCAAAGGCAAACATTCAGATTGTTTAAAAGACTCTCAAGTGGGCAGATCCTGACATAAACAGGATTAGCCAAACAATTTACAAGATTCAGAGTCAATGCCTGCTTACATTTTCCTGAGGGTATGAACGACCACGTGAATCCCTGGAGAATGATTAAACTTCTTTTTAAATCTTTGCTTAGAGCAAAGAAGAAACAGAGAAGGCTTCGTAATACTAATTGCCTATGGAAATTGTCAATCATCCAGGTCATGGCTGTCCCAAAGATGTTTTTTCAAAAGGCAACTGGACTTTGTTTTTCCCTGAAGAGATTTTGCTTCTCATCCAAGAAGCTTCTTCAGTTCTTCCATCCTCCACCAGGCAACCAAAAAAAACACGGTGGCTGGAGACTATCAAAGCTGACACCAGCCAGAGCCCTAGAACAACTCAAAGAAGTAGTGCAAGATCGGAAGATGTGGAAAAAGCTGGCCCATAGAATCATCAAGAGATGGAGAAGTTTGAATGAGCCAGTTGTGTGCGGCGACAGCCAAAATAGCTAATGCAATCCTGGGTTGCATAAACAGAGGCACAGAATCAAAATCACGTGACGTATTAGTACCGCTTTATAAATCCTTAGTAAGGCCACACCTGGAATACTGCATCCAATTTTGGTCACCACATTACAAAAAAAATGTTGAGACTTTGGAAAAAGGGCAAAGAAGACCAACTAAGATGATTTAAAGGCCTGGAGACTATAACATGCGAAGAACGGTTACAGGAATTGGCTATGGCTAGTCTAGAGAAAAATCCAGAGCACCTGAAGGCAAGACAAGAAACAATAGATGGAAACTAACCAAGGAGAGAAGCAACCTGGAACTAAGGAGAAACTTCCTAACAGTGAGGACAATTAACCAGTGGAACAGCTTGCCCCCAGAAATCGTGGGTACTTCATCAGTGGAGGTTTTTATAAAGAGACTGGACAGCCACTTGTCTGAAATGGTATAGAGTCACCTGCCTGAACAGGTAAGTTGGACTGGAAGACCTCCGAGGTCTTTTCCAGCTCTATTCTGATTGATCGAATGGATGACATCATCGTCAGAATAGTCGTGTTAGACCACAGTATCGAAAAATTAGAAGGTATGTAATACCGCTTTTTCAGACTAAAGCTTCTATTAAACCCTTCATTAATGCCTCTTAATAAAATGTATTGCTCTGAAAAGGTCCTTCTACCAAGGTCCTTCTCCATGCCTTCATATTCCATTTTCTTCCAATGTTGGGCTTAAGGACATCCGATTAGAAGAAGGTCAACATAAGAGTCAGCGGTTCCCTTCCCTCTGCAGCTTATGGTGCTTACCTTGCTCTGCTTCCTGTCCAGGTAAAATTGATGTTGACTAATGGCCATAGCCCAGATGGACTTGATCAAGGCAGGGCAGGCATACCACGTATGTACAGCAATTCCACTATGTCCGAAAGTCCTCCTGGTCACTGATGCTCTAGATGGACAGGAAAAGAGCAGCGTCAAAGGAGAAAGTGACTTATGCATTTTTCTTACTGTAGAACAGGGGTAGGCAACCTTGGCTCTTTTATGACTCGTGGACTTCAACTCCCAGAATTCCTGAGCCAGCATGGGGAAACTTTGGCCCCTTCATGAGTTGTGGACTTCAACTCCCAGAATTCCTGAACCAGCATGGCTCAGCTTGGAAACCTCTCCCTTTCCCCTCAGCATGGCTGGCTCAGGAATTCTGGGAATTGAAGTCCACGAGTCATAAAAGAGCCAAGGTTGCCTATCCCTGCTGTAGGACATCATTTTGCTTGCTTACAATAGTTCATTTAGTTACGATGTCACTGAAAAAAGTGACCTGTGACCATTTTTCATACTTACGACTGTGGCACATTCCCCATGGTCACGTGAACAAAGTTGAGACCCTTGGCAACAGGTCCCTATTTATGACGGTCGCAGCATCCTGGGGTCACGTGATCACCTTTTGCGACTTTTGACTAGCCAAGTCAACGGAGGAAGCTGAATTCACTTAACAACCCTCTGACTAACTTAGTAACTGCAGTGATTCACGTAACAACTGTGGCGAGGAAGGTCGTAAAAGGGGGCAAAATTCACTTAACAACCGTCCCGCTTTGCAGTTGAAATTTTGAGCTCAATTGCGGTCGTAAGGCGAGGAATGCCTGCATTAACTTTAAGGGCATTCATTTCCCCTAAGACAGTGGTTCTTAACTTGTGGGTCGGGACCCCATTTTGGGTCGAACGACCATTTCACGGGGGTCGCCAAACAACGCAGTCTGCCATTTTTTTCCCCCTTTTCCTTAGCTGTGCTACTCCCTTTTATTCTATTGGCTTTTGAAAGCCAATAGAATAGACTCTCTTGAATAGAGTCTAATTCTATTGGCTTTCAAAAGCCAATAGGAATTGTCCAGGCTGTCTCTGCCCTGCTGAGCCCGCCAAAAGTCCCATTCTGCAAACGGTGCTGCACCAGTTGAGTAGTCCTCGACTTACGACCGGTTGAGTAGTCCTCGACTTACGACCAGTTGGGGGTCACGGCATTAAAAAGGTTGAGAACCACTGCCCTAAGACAGGGGTGCCAAACTGCCGGCCTGCGGGCTGGACACGTCATGAGGAAACCACGCCCATCTCATTGCCAGCAATGGGGAAAAAGTTACTAGACGTCGCGAGTTTGACATGTCTGCCCTAAGGATTTGCTCCTAGATCCTTCTTGCTCTCTCTCCTTTTATGCATCTATATGGAAAAACTTTGCTAGAGATAATTTTAATAACAGGCCATACCTAAAAACAGCATGGTTGGGATTGCATGACTTCCAACTGGCAGTCATTAAGCAATTCATCTTAAAATACCATCTCTTTTGGCTAAAAGCCTAGAATCTTAACTATGTTCCTGCTGGATCTAGATTTCCTAGTTGGCAGTTACACCGTGGCTAATCTTTTTCTTTTTTAGTTATTGGATTAATTATGTCAACACCTTCTATGTTGATGTTAATATAATTTGGTATTAAAAAGCAAGGCGGAAATTTAAAATTCTGCACAATTAAATGGCTTCTTGACATGGAATATGGATTTTTTTTTTTTTACTGGATCAATGAAATGACATGGAAAATTCCAAGATTCTAAGCAGACTATGTTTTGGGTTATTATTGTGGTAGCTGAATAAAGTTGTTGCCTTTCCCCAAAAGGAAACACTGTTGTTTTGAATATCTAACATTGTGAAGTTTGCCAAACTCAGAAATTGCTTTGCTGATAAATATCACTGGCTTTTGTGAATTACACCCTTTAAATGGAAGAAAAATTCTTGCTCAAGGTATTCCTGCTAAGCTATAATAAACTCCCCAAAAACTTAATTTCCCAGTGTGGCTGATCTAAGGGGTAAATTTCTAATAGTGCATGATATAAAGTAGAAATTCAAACAGTTTAGGAATTTTTTTTGTGACGGACAGGAACTGACATCAGTTTGAAGGTGACTATATCTTTTCCTAGTTATACAGGTAGTCCTTGACTTACAACAGTTCATTTAGTGACCATTCAAAGTTACAATGGCACTGATAAAAGTGACTTATGACCGTTTTTCACACTGATGACCATTGCAGCCATCCCTGCGGTCACAGGATCAAAATTCCGACACTTGGCAACTGACTTGTACTTATGACGGTCGCCGTGTCCTGGGGTCACGTGATCCCCTTTTGCGACCTTCTGATAAGCAAAGTCAAGGGGGAAGCCATATTCACTTAACAACTGCAGTGATTCACTTAACAATTGTGGCAAAAAAAAGATCATAAAAGGGGCAAAACTCACTGAACAAATGTCTCAGTTAGCAACAAAAAAACTTTTGAGCTCAATTGTGGTCGTAAGTCGAGAACTACCTGTAATTTGATGGATGCATTAATGAGCATTGGAGTATTCTTTGTTTCCCCCCTCCCAATGTGGACAATGGGTTCAATTTAATTCCTACATAATGCTCTTTTAAAAGTCAGTTCCTATCCAGGTGTCTGTTTTCCCAGCCGAATAAAATCCACCGAGATGGGGAAATTGAAAACCAAGCCACCTCAAACAGCACGGAGCATGCCACATGAATTGTTTGCTTGTTTCCAAGGCAAGAAAAGTAACACAACTCGGGAGCCTTAAGCACCTTAAGCATCAACACGAAGCTCGGCTTAAGCGATTCCCTCTCATCTGCCTTGTATGTTTTCTTTCAAGTGAATTCACTGGCCAATAGCACGGAGGGTGACATTTTTGGAATTCTTATTGAAAGGAATCTGGCTGTCCCAAATAAATTTAGCTACAACCATCTCGAAGATGATGTACTTGCCACACTTTCCAAAAAGGTCTTATGGGTTTTAAAAAGCCACCACCCAAGATGATTAAGTGAAAGTAAATCAGGATCTCCAAATTGCTAAATGCAAACTGAGAAAGCAGCGTTTCTCAAGGTTAGTAAATAATAATAATAATAATAATAATAATGATGATGATGATGATGATGTTGGAAGGGACCTTGTAGGTCATCTAGTCCAACCCCCTGCTCAGGCAGGAAACTATAAGATGAGCGGACTTCAACTCCCAGAATCTCTCAGCCAGGGCTGGGGGATTCCCAGGAGTTGAAGTCCACCATCTTAAAAGTTGCTAAGTTTGAGAAATACTGCATCCAATTTACAAAAGTCAGAGGATGGCTCTTAAGAGCAGAGTGGTGGCCTAGGGGTGAAGACGCTTGCCTCCCATTCAGAAGGTTGAGAGTTCAATCCCAGATAGTGGCAGATGTTTCTGTCTGGGGGGGGGGCGCAAAGACAGAATATCTGCTAGATCCAATCTGGGTTTCGGACTCCATCTTCAGGGAACTTCTCTCTAGCAGAGTGGAGTGTGTGGGTGTGCTGTTCTGTCTGTTTATAGTGCCTGTTGTAAGTGGCTTTTTAGAGGTCGATTGGTAAAAGCCATATACAACAGGCACTATAAACACCACACACACAACAGCACACACTCTGCTAGAGAGAAGTTCTCTGGGGATGGGCTCCAACATGACTACGAAAGCTTGGAAGACGAAACCTCTGGGCCCAGGGACTGACCCAGATCGGATCCTGTAACTTCATCCTGGGACACATTCACGAGAAAGTATCTGCTGTGAACTCTGCATAGGCGTCGGGAAGGGCATCCAGCCAGTAAATGCTCAGCTCCATCCAGTTCTCTCGAATGAAGGGATTACAGGTTCATAAAACGGGAGTTAGAAGACGAGTTTTAAAAGGAAGGTGAAAAATTGCTGTGCCAAGGTAAATATACCATCTTCCAAGAAAAATGAGCTGATTAATGCATGCAAATGAGCCCCTACACCTTGTTCATTTGCATAACTCTTTTTCCTACAGGAGGAGATGGAAGGAACCAAAAACCTAAATGCTGAATTCTTACTCTGCCAAAATCCAGGGGTTGTGAAATTCACCTGATTTCATCCGGACTTCATCCAATGCTCAACTTATAACTCATTTAACGACCGCCTGAAGTTACAATGAGACTGAAAAAAAGCGGCTCACAACTTGCACTTACGACGGTCGCAGCATCCCCCTGGTCAAGTGGTCAGTGAATGGGCACTTGGCAACCAGCAAGTATTTATAATGGTTGCGGTGTCCCAGAGTTATGTGATTGCCATTTGCCCCCTTCCCAGCCAACTATTTAACGAGCAAAGTCAGTGGGGGGGGGGAAACAGACTTATTTAACGACCGTCTGATTTACTTAATGACTGCAGCGATCGGTTTAATAACTGTGGCCAAAATGGTCATAAAAGGTAACCCTCAACTTACAACAGTTCGTTTACTGACCTTTTGAAGTTAGAACAGGACTGAAAAAAAAGTGACATGACCGTTTTTCACAGTTAACGACTGTTGAAGCTTCCCCACGGGTCCCGTGATCAAAATTCAGACTCTTGGCCATTGATTTGCATTTATGACAGTCGCAGCCTCCCAGGGGTCACGTGATCCCCCTTTTGCGACCTTCTGACCAGCAAAGTCAAATCTGGGAAGCCAGATTCATTTGACAACCACGTTGCTCATTCACTTAACAACCAGGTTTATTTATTTATTTATGAGACTTATATACCGCTTTAAGTGCAAGCACTCTCTAAGCGGTGTACACCAGTAAGCAATGTATACATATATTTACATTGCCCCCAACAATCTGGGTCCTCATTTTACCTACCCCGGAAGGATGGAAGGCTAAGTCAACCTTGAGCCGGTGAGATTTGAACCGCTGACCTGCTGAACACAGTCAGCTAAAGTGGCCTGCAGTACAACAACAGGTTGCAGCGATTTGCTTAATAATGGTGGCAAGAAAGGTCATAAAACAGGGCAACCTCATTTAACAAAGGCCTCGCTTAGCACAAGAAATTTGGGGCTCGACTGTGGTCATAAGTCGAGGACCACGTGTAGTTGGGCATGATTCACTTAACAGCTGCCTTGATTAGCAATGGAAACTCTGGTCCCAATTATAGCTGTAAGCCGAGGAGTACCTGTAATCTACTAGGACAGGGGTAGGCAACCTTGGCTCTTTTATAACTCGTGGACTTCAACTCCCAGAATTCCTGAGCCAGCATGGCTCAGCTTGGAAACCTCTCCCTTTCCCCAACTCCCGAGTCATAAAAGAGCCAAGGTTGCCTACCCCTGGGTTAGGCTTATACTCTATGATATAGGGCAGGGGTATACAACTTATACTCTATGATATAGGGTAGGGATAGGCAACCTTGGCTCTTTTATGACTCGTGGACTTCAACTCCCAGAATTCCTGAGCCAGCATGGCTCAGCTTGGAAACCTCTCCCTTTCCCCTCAGCATGGCTGGCTCAGGAATTCTGGGAGTTGAAGTCCACTAGTAGAAGATAATAGGCAGTGGGATCAATTCAAGCACGGTTAGCCAAGCAGGACTGGATGAGTTTAGCTCAGCGATGGCAAACCTTTTAGGGACCGAGTGCCCCAAAACAGCCCCCACCCCACCTGCCCCTCCGCAGGGCCACCCACCGCCTCCATGGCCCGCTGTAGATCACCCAGGCGGTCCAGTAGCGCCGTGACGGCCATGCCCTCCGCATCATCTGCGTGTGATGGGGCATGAGCAGAGTTTTGTCCCCGCTGCCCAGCTTGGTCCTACTGCTCCAGGTGGGCTGCGCCCAGGAATGACTTTCCTCCGGGGGGGGGGGATGCTGGTGAGGAGGGGGCTGTAGGGAAAGCAGGGCTGGGGTGACGGCACATGTGCCCACAGAGAGGGCTCTGAGTGCCCCCTCTGGCACACGTGCCGTAGGTTCGCCACCACTGGTTTAGTCCTTCCGTGGGAGGACACCGGAAAATCTCAAAGAGTTGAGAAAAAAAAACCAAAGTCAAAAGCAAATCCTTTCCCCCAAAAAAGCCCAGATGGACAGGCCTGGATCACCAAAGGGAGGCTGAGTTTGTTGAAACTAGCCTGTCCTTTCTCTACCCTTGTTCATTCAACCGGGATTGCACAGGAATGTTTCCGCGTGGATTCGGGCCAAGCTCAACATTTTGGAGGAACGGAGCGTCACTCACAACAAGAATGTAATTAAAAGCGCACCGGATCTGCAACAATCGCTTCTCATAGTTTTAATCCCGAGCCTGTTGCAGAAATCTTAGGCCACACCAATACGGGATGCCCCAGTTCACACACCAGCAGCTGTGAAAGGCATTATAAGTTGACAGACGGCCAAGAATAAGCACAGCCACACAAGTCACACATAATAATGCCTCTTTTGGGGGGGGGGGGGGGCTGAAAAACAACAGAAAAAGTTCTGGGTGCCAACACTGAAGCCGATGTCCCCCTGGCCGGCTCAGAGAGGCAATTCTTAAAATTTTCACAGGAGATTTTATGCTTATGAATCGGTTTGCACCAAAGATGGGATACCTGTCATATAAGTGGCTACTTAAACGGGGGGGGGGGGGGAGAGACCTTGTACAGCTAGTCCTTGACTTACAACATTCACTTAGTGACCCTTCAAAGTTACAACCGCAGTGGAAAAAAACTGACACGACCGTTTTCCACTCTTACGTCCGTTGCGGCATCAAAATTCAGATGCTTGGCAACTGACTCATACTTATGACGGTCGCAGTGTCCCGGGATCAGAGAGGTCAAGGAAAGTCCATGGGGAAACCGGATTCACTTAACGACTGTGTTACTAACTTAGCGACTGGAGGGTTTCACTTAACAACAGTAAAAATGAGACAAAATGCACTTCAACAACTCTCTTGCTTAGTGACAGAAAGTTTGAACTCCATTCTGATTGTAAGTCGAGGACTACCTGTTAACAATTTGGAAGAAAGTGCCAACACCAAAGTCATGACTGCAAAAAAAATAAATAAATCCGTTTTTATTGCATTATCTAATTCCGCTGGCCAAGAATGGACTTGCTGTTTATGTTATCTGGACAGAAAGCAAGCACTGATGAAGAATAAAAACTAGAACCGAAATAAAAGGGCACGATGCAATAATAACACATCCTAAATAACAGCACTTAAATTAAAAGTAAAGGGCACATGGCTTTAAGAACACATAGTAATAATGCTTCTGCATCAATGTTAATTAATGTTCAAAATGCTTTTTTTATTAAAAAAAACAAATGCATACAGGGTGGGGACCACAGGATTGAAGGTACTTGTGGAAGATTACCAGGTTTAAATAAAATGCATTTAGGGTGTCACAACTATTAGGACTGAAACTCATCCTGCCCATTGTTCGGTCAGCACAAACGATTCCACAATTGCAGCAGAGGGCATAAAATATGGTCTGGAAATTCTCGGGAGAGGCTTAAATCCGTCCCCATAGCTGAGCTAGCCCAGGATTAGCGTCCTGAAGGCTTTGCCCCGGAATACACTCCAGTCACCTTGAAGGAATGCCAGCAATTGCCCGAGATTAGAGATGGCTTTGGGGGGAAAAATCCATTTGCAACCGGGCGCCCGCGGGCCACGCTGCCCGGACTGTTTTCCCCGGGGCTGTTCACCGACCCCGAAGCTCTTCCTTTCTCCGCGCCTTCTCCCTCTCTCGGGCTTCGTGGCTTGATTTGGCGGCGAGACGAACCACCCCACCCCACTCCACCCTCCGGGGATTTGCGCAGCCCCACGCGTGAAATGCACGGAGGCTTTCCCAGCGATGCCTGGATGGTCCGGCCGCCCCTGCTGCTGCCCTTCCCACCCGCTGCCGGTCGTGCCCCCTTCCGGCCGGCTTCTTCTTACCTGCGTGGGTCATGCACCTCCACGGAAAACTTCTTCTCGCGGAAGTAAAGGTTCTCCAGCTGGCGCCATTGGAAGATCTGCGCGGGGGAGAGAAAGAAGCGGGCTGAGATGGGGCCGCCCTTGTCCTGCCCTGCCCCGGTTGCGCGGCGCTCCGGAGAGGCGGGCAGGGCCAGGCGGGGCCGGCCCCTTTGCGGGGGGAGCCTGGGAGCCGTTCCCACGCGGGCCGGTGGGCGGGCGGCCGAGCGAGCGAGCGCTCCTTCCCCGCCTCCCTCCGCAGCGCTTCGGGCTCTCCCGCCGGCTTTCTCCGGGCGGAGGAACGGCAAGGAAGGAGCCAGCTTCCTTCTGCCCCGGCTCCGCGGTCTTGCGCCCCCCACGGAGGGGCTCCGCGCGGGGGTTTCCCACGGGGAGACCCAGAGGGGGAGAACCCGGCCCCTTCCTCCGTGCCTGGAGCCCAAATCCCCTTTTGACGGTGCTTCGCAATAAAGGAAAAATGCTCCGAGCATTTTGTCGGCTCTCGGAACACCCGGGAAAAGGCAACACGCGTGTATCGCCAGAGTTTGCTTTGGGCGGTTACGGTGAAAAAAAAAATCCAGCACTTAAGTAAAATCTCCATCTCGGTTTCTAAGGACCTCGGCGCTTCGCAGTTTTTCTGGCTCCCCGTGGAAAGTGGCTTAATCTATTCTTTCTTTCTTTCTTTCTTTCTTTCTTTCTTTCTTTCTTTCTTTCTTTCTTTCTTTCTTTCTTTCTTTCTTTCTTTCTTTCTCCCTTCTTTCATCTATCCCTTTACCTCTCTATCATCTATCATCTTCCTTAACTACACCAGTCTTCCTTCCTTCTTTCTTTCTTTTTCTTTTTCTCTTTTCTTTCGTTCTTTCTCTTCTTTCTTTCTTTCTCTCTTTCTTCCTTCTTTAATCTCCCTCCTTTCTTTCTCTTTCTCTTTCTTTCATTCTTTCTTTCTTCCTTTCTCCCTTCTTTCATCTATCCCTTTCTCTCTCTATCATCTTCCTTAACTATACCAGTCTTCCTTCCTTCCTTCCTTCCTTCCTTCCTTCCTTCCTTCCTTCCTTCCTTCCTTCCTTCCTTCCTTCCTCCCCCCCCCTCTTTGAGTTCCCAATCAAGCCTGTCATTTTGAGGGTTTCCTCATGGTCTCCCATCCAGGCGCTAAGTGATTCCCTCCCCCCATCAGCCAGAAAGCCGGGTTCTCTGAATTTAGGATGATTTGCTGGGGAATTCTGGGAGCTGAAGTCCACAAATCTTCAAAAAACCCTCCAGAAGAAAACAAGCAGATGGTTCCCCTAAGAGTGGCCTTGGATGGTGAGATACACAACATAGCAAGGACACGGGGGTTCTCCTTCTTATGACAGGCCTTCCTAATGCAAGAGAATACCCGTAGAAGAGAATATTCGGAGCTCCATGTTGAATTGTGGAGGGTGTCCTTGGTGTTCCTAGACACAAGCTAAATGCAAAAAACCCTAGTGAATTCCTGGAAGCCTGGCATTCAGACAGATCTCCCATCAACAGAGACACAGAGATATAAACAAGATCTACATACCATTCAAAAGAGACAATCAAAAAGCCAAAAGGGAAACAAAAAACCAAAATACCTCCTGCTCAGCAATCAACACCCAGATAAGCAGAGAATCAACACCAAGCAGTAAACAATTCCACAGTCAAAAAACTGCCAACTCAGTAAAGTACAGCCTAATTGACACCTTCCCTTCTAGCACTAATGATGTTGTTGATCATGTTACCTTGGAGTCCTACGCTAGCGGACAATCACTTAAACATGAGCCAGCTGTGTGCAGCAGCCGCCAAAACCACTAACACAATCCTGGGTTGCATAAACAGAGGCATAGAATCAAGATCATGTGAAGTATTAATACTGCTTTATAAAGCCTTAGTAAGGCCACACCTGGAATACTGCATCCAGTTTTGGTCACCACATTACAAAAAAAATGTTGAGACTTTGGAAAAAATGCAGAGAAGAGCAACTAAGATGATGAAAGGCCTGGAGACTAAAACATGAAGAATGGCTGCAGGAATTGGGTATGGCCAGTCTAGAGAAAAGAAGGACTACGGGGGGACGTGATAGCAATATTCCAGTATTTACGGGACTGCCGCAAAGAGGAAGGGGTCAACTTATTTTCCAAAGCACCAGAGGGGAAGGACAAGAAACGATGGTTGGAAACTGATCAAAAAGAGAAGCAGCCTAGAATAAAGGAGAAACTTCCTGACAGTGGGGACAATTAACCAGTGGAACAGCTTGCCTCCAGAAATGGTGGGTGCTCCATCACTGGAGGCTTTTATGAAGAGACTAGACACCCACTTGTCTGAAATAGTTTAGGATCTCCTGCTTGAGCAGGGGGGTAGAATAGAAGACCTCCAAGGTCCCTTCCAGCTCTATTCTGGTTGAAACCTAGTTGGGCAATGAAGCATCTGCAAGAAAACAAGTAAACTCAGCATCAAGGATCCCACAGTTCTCCTCCTCCTTCTCCTCTTCCTCCTCCTTCCCATTTCGCCTTTTCTACAACTGCCATTCCCTACTACCCGTAGGATGAGTTAGGCAAGGAAGAACCCAACAGGCCATCCTGCTAAATAGGCAGTTTCCATTTCAGTGGCTTTTTAACTGCTGTTTGAAAATGTTTAACCCAGGGGCAGGCAACCTTGGCTCTTTTATGACTCATGGACTTCGACTCCCAGAATTCCTGAGCCAGCCCTGCTGAGGGGAAAGGGAGAGGTTTCCAAGCTGAGCCATGCTGGCTCAGGAATTCTGGGAGTTGAAGTCCACAAGTCATAAAAGAGCTAAGGTTGCCTACCCCCGGTCTAGGCCTAGGCCGCTTTCTGACTCGTGAACTTCAACTCCCAGAATTCCTGAGCCAGCATGGCTCAGCTTGGAAACCTCCCTTTCCCCTCAGCATGGCTGGCTCAGGAATTCTGGGAGTTGAAGTCCACGAGTCATAAAAGAGCCAAGGTTGCCTACCTCTGGTTTAACCCATCAATGATTTTACTCTGTTTCTGCTTGGCGATGTAACTCTAATTATCTAACCCAGTGGTTCTCAACGTTTGTGTGACGGCGACCCCCGTCACACAAACGTTCTGCGCATGCGCGGCGCGGCACGCATGCGTGGTGGCGCCCCACATGCGCGGCACACATGTGCGGCAGCGCCCCCATGCGCAGCACGCATGCGCGGCGGCACCCCCATGCGCAGCACGCATGCGCGGTGGCGCCCCCTGAGGGGGGAAAATGGCGGATCGCCTTCTTTGGCGACCCCCGAAAAATGGTCGATCAACCCCAAATGGGGTCGCGACCCATAGGTTGAGAACCGCTGATCTAACCCATCATGGCTGTAATTTGTCCACAAGTCTTAAATGTCTGTGGAGATTCTCAGTCACCCGGTTCGTGGTTGTCCCAAAGGTGCTTTTTCAAAAAGGCAACTGGATTTTCTTGTTTGTTTGTTTTTTATTTCATGATTTACATTTTATTTATTTCAGTCATGTCTGAAAGGTCAAATGAAAACCCTGATTGGGACTTTCTTCCCGGGAATTCTCCAGCATCTGGCGTCCATTAATCCTATCTTTCTCAGAGCTGAAATCATCCATCCCCTAAGAAGACGTCTAAAGCCAGCAATCCAAACTAACTGCTGCTTCAGTTCATATTGGAGAAAATATTGGAATGGAGTAGGAGATTAAATCATTTAAATTTTTCCAAAACACAAGGGTGGTTTGGCACTGCTCAGCTCGCTCAGAAGAGAGGATCTGATCAAATCTAACCACAAAGGTAGCTCCCTGTTGCTCTTTCTTACTGCGAGGTCCCTGGAATTCAAAACACGCAAGAGGTTTTGCCCTGGAAAAGTTTCCAGTTTCGGTGTGTGAGAAACAGGGAAGCAGAAGGCAAGAAACAGAGTGGGGAGGTCTTTGTGATCTCTCCTGCCGTGCAGAATACAGGGCCTGCTTTCCGGAGAGAAATCCAGATGTTTGCAATTGTTGCTACAGTTTGCTCTTAATTGCAATACAATAAAGCCACTAAACAACCTTCTGCTCTGTAGTCACAAGCCAGAGGGAAAAACAATCTTTCTTGCTAGGCTATCATTAGCAGATTCCCTTCTCTGTCCCAAAGGCCCTTGAAAAAAAATTGAAACACGTGGACAAGGGTGAGACTGAATGAGCATGAAAATGGAGGAGGAGGAGAAGGAGAAGAAGGAGGAGGAGGAGGTGAACAAGAAGAAGAGGAAGAGGAAGAGGAAGAGGAAGAAGAAGAAGAAGAAGAAGAAGAAGAAGAAGAAAGAAGAAGAAGAAGAAGAAGAAGAAGAAGAAGAAGAAGAAGAAGAAGAAGAAGAAATAATGAAAGTGATCAGAAAGAGCTTGTGGAAGGGTTCACTATTAGAAATTGCTTCAGTTGCATTTGCTTCTATATTAGTGGTTCTCAACCTGTGGGTCAGGACCCCATTTGGGGTCAAACGACCATTTCATGGGGGTCGCCAAACCATGCTGTCTGCCATTTTTTTCCCTTTTCCCCAGCTGTCCTACTCCCTCTTATTGGTGGCCATACCCACTTGGGGGGGTCACCACAACATGGGGAACTGTATTATGGGGTCACGCCATTAGAAAGGTTGAGAACCACTGTTCTATATCAACATAAATAACCTGACTATTTTGATAGATTTTTTTTATTACATTACCAATTACGCACTGCCTAATGTAACATTATTTAATACATCTATAGCTTTCCAATGTAATTGTCTCCTCCCCCACCACACAGGCTCTCCACCTCATTTATTCAGTATTTAATTACCTGAATAATGAAGTGCGGCATACCGTGAAAGGCCCATCCAAACCATTTTTTTTAAAAAAATACCTGACACAGTTTTATTCTGAATCTTTAAGGTAAATAGTGGACAAAATAAGGAGTGCACTGATGATGTTACCTAGTTAGGTCATCAAACGTCCCCAAGAGACCACAAAGGAGCCCACGGTTCACAGATATTCTCTTCCACTGACTGGGAGACAGTTCTGTACTGTTCTGTCTGATTCAGTAGCTCACGAGCTGGACCGATTCAGCCTCTTTTAAACCTATGAC